ATTGCTTGAAAAATCCTGCCTGGACAGCCAGCTTGCTGTTCAGTAGTGATGGATTCCATACGAGCAGTAACCTAGGCGGGTAAAGCCGACCCAAATGTGATTGAATTTACGGCTCCCAATGAGCCTCGTAGCCCAATGGCTGAGCGTTGGCTGCGCAAACGCCTTCGCCGCGAGTTTTTCACAATTGGGTCACCTGAATTAAGCAAGTCTGCCAAACTCCCCTAACAATTTTAGATTTTCAGCATGCTCCTTTCTGTCAATATAAAAGAGATCTTTCCATGGCGTTTGAGGCTACTAGCATCTGCTGCATTCTTATTATCCCCACGGCATTTCCACCTGTACGTCAGTCGGTAGCGTGTGTGTGTGTAGGCTCTTATTTGCTGTTTTCACCTTTTTACTTTCTCCCGAAATAAATGCGTTAACATGGAGACATTCTGTCATTAGAAAACCTCTCAAGCTTGCTCCGGCGAATTGGCAGAAAATCGGCGAATCACATTGTGTGGGCTGTGTGCCGCGAGTATGGTGAATCATACATGAGAAGCCTTATTCGTTGTCCCATGCTGCCTTAGCGTGTACTGTAAGTGGGATGGCCATTGCGCTAGGTGTAGGATTTTTGCTGTAAGGTTCCACGTGTTTCCGTATTTTCTAATGGATACGTTAGCAAATGCGCACTCTATGTACTTCATCGCTCGCACTGTCCCGAACGACCCCAACAGACCGACTGTGTCATATGGGCGGCGTGAGTACGCGTAGCATATCTACATTCCTTTGTCCACGGCTCACGTATTCATTCTCCATGTAATTGTACAGGCCTGATAATGAAGTACCGAGAATATACGTTTAAATTGGGTCCATTTTTGATGCGTGCTGTCTAAAAAGTAATTTTTTTTCCGAAAATCGGTACTTGGCACATTGCACTGGACCGAGTATGTGGATGGTCTAACAACTGTTCGCTTATTTGGTTCTAGCCAGTCAAATTCATATCGGTCGCCTCCCACTCATTGTGATTCCAGTCCGTCTCCTTGAAGGAACTTTCTACCATCTGAGCCACGGAATCAACACCAAAAGCACCAAACCACCACGCGTGCAGATGTGGTCTGGCATTAGAATGGGTGCAATGTCATAAAGTGACCAAACGAATCACCTCCGCGTGCGCACATCGATTTAATACCTGTTTCCTTCGAGGTTATCCGATACGCAGGACATTGTTCGGCCGGGTTAACTGCATTTGATAGGCCAAGCTCTACTTCTGTTAATTTTCACTACCGCGGAAGATTGGCGAAAACAGCGAAGATTTGTTTGCGTGTTTACTTCTGAGATGACACTCATTTGATTCCACTTATTCGTGGACAGCGTGCGAATAGCCAGTCAGCCATGTCTTGGCGAACTGTCCGTTGAGCTGAGAACCGGGACCGTTTAATATGATAATGCCTAATAACTTTTCGTTTTTTCGGGTTGGCATGATATGCAAAGCTCGTGGAATGCAGTCCTCGAATTTACTATTAGTCCCATAAGCGGGTTTTCATGGTAGCAATCACCACTCCATGCATTATGTTACATCTGCAGCTAAGGGTGGGGTGACATTTTTTGTTTGTTGGAGGAGCCTCTCGTAAAAAGCGATTTTTACACTTAAAGTAGATGTGCGAACTATAGAGCATCTGCATATTTTACACCTACCTATAATTCTGGGTTTGATCTTTGACTGTCTCATTGACGAGTATCTTCTGGAGTTTGCTTTTGAACGCCTAAGAATTTTTATTTGTCGACTGTCTAACCGAGAAAGGTAGGTCGTTTGTTTTTAACTTTTAACTCTACTAATCTTGGGTGGATTAGAAATAGCGCCTGCCCCGTCGCAATAACTATTTGGTACGAACGTCTCTAAGGTTGATTTTTTTGCCCACATTTGTCGAAACCAAGCTCATCAATAGGCTGTTGTCTTATTGCTTTTTACGGTCTTGCCTTTTCAGTATCGACAAAGTATCTCGCATTCAGTCTCCTACTCTGGTAATGCATGGCACAGATGACGATGTGATTGGTATTCACCACGGACAGGAACTGCATGCTCGCCTGCCGTACCCTCTGGAACCCCTCTGGGTAGAAGGTGCAGGCCACAATGACATTGAACTCTTCCCCGAGTACACCCGCCGCCTCGACAAATTCTTCAAGGACGACCTCATCTACGCCCAGAACTCGCCCACCTTGCTGGACCAACGAGCCGGCGATCAACAGTATCACGAGGAACGCGTCCGGGGTTCTTCGCCCTGTATGCAGCTCTCGCCACGAGGCGCTCCAGAAAAACTGCAGACCATCAATTCTGCAGACTCAGCTTCCTTCGCTACCTCTTCTTCCTCCCCCACTTCCTCTAACCCCTCTTTGGTATCCCCTGATGGCCAGGTGAATCAAATTGACTTTGCGGCTGAAGATGACCTAACGACGGTTCAGGCGCCCTCCAATCGTTCCACGCATTCCGTAGTGTCTGACACATCTGCGGTGGCGACATCTGCGCCGATCAGGGGGTCGCGCCGAGGTCTTCTCGCATCTGCTATCCACCTGAGCCTCAGCAAGAGGAGAACTCCACGACCTCAGTCGCAGCAGGAGCAAGAGCTCGGCGACCAACCTAGAGTCGGAAGTGGCAGGCATAATTC